AGACAGTGATTGACAGATGTAGAAGTTCAACATGGATCTGTTTGACTCCATAATCCATGCTCTTAACCTCTGCCTCTAAAATAAGAAAGGCTGGCTTTCGTAGAGCTTCCAGGTTCTCACAGCTGTAATAGGGCTAGTCTGCCAGGTCCTAAGCTAGGTGTACCAGTAGCACTGATCTTACCTTCACAGCTTCTGAGGAAATGAGGTAGAGATGCCCCAGGGCTTCTAAACCCTGTAGAAGTTCCCAGGAGAACCTGTTCATAAGAACCCATCTTCAAAGTGCAGCTACCCCAGGACCTGTCTGACCATGAAAGATTTGTGGACACTGATTAACACCAGGGCTGGGAACTCCAGTAGCACACCTGAGCACAGGCACCTGCTTACTATTTGCAAATCCTGCCTTCCCAGGATAGGCCCAGCCACCTCTGAAGTTTGAGTAGTAAACAGCCTTTCTCTATCCAAGCCACCCAGGATTTATGGCTGACAGTTCCCTTCTGCCTGAACCGCTGCACTGTGCACTGCAAACACAAGTGACCTTTGCAGCAGTTTCATCTTAGTCCGCTTCCGTGTAGAAGACCTGTTTTGTATTGATGTTGTTTCCAACAAGTTCTGCCTGTTAAGTCCCTTAGCCCCTGCCCTTGGAATTCCAGCCACAGAGGAAAGCGCCAGTAATTTGAAGAGCAAGGGCTGGGGTGAGTGCTTTGAAAGCATCCTCAGCTCCCATTGGAATCTTTGGCCCAGTAACTTCAGGCCAATGGAGTTGCTCCCCTTCCTTCCAGAGCTTTCTAATCTCTCCCTAAGAGGGGACTGGCTGCAGGCTCAGATTAGCCTACTAGCAATAAGGTACTTTGTGAGTCGTTTTCTTGCAAGTTGGTTCCCATGTGGTATTTGTTAGTCACAGCTAATTATGAAGTCCTTGGCCAAGGCACTAGACATTGTTCCTGGGATTCCTCCCCCTTCTTTTTCCCCTTTGCCCCCCATTGCTGCAGAACAAAACCCATTGTGGGGACTCTGGAGGTTGGCTGTGCGCATATTTTCTGATGGACTCACTGCTGGAGTCTCATGTTTCAGGTTCAAACTGAACTGGATAAAGCATTATTCATTGACACTGACACATTTGGCCTGTTCTGTGCAGACGTTTCTCCCACACTACACTGGGTCTCTCACAGGCAATTTGGATAATTTACTGAGAATAATTCACAGCATTACTCAGAACCTCAGTAATCTGTACAGAATGACAGAATGTTAGGAGTTTTAGGTCATAGGAAGATCGAGTGCCAGGTGTGGCCGGCTGCCCTCAGGAGTGAAGGTTAAGAAGGAGAGAAGGTGGAGGGATACAGTTGCCTCTGGGTTCCTCTTTCCCATCCCCCAGGCAGAGTGCCTCAGCATTTGCCTGCTCTGTATATTGGGCTCTTGCATCCTTGAACTCTCACAACTGAATTCCCTTAATTGTTCAGTCTTCAGACAAAGAGACTGGCCTAGCAAGGATCCTAAGGCCTAAGTGACCAAGTGAATTGAGGCCAGAATGAGAATTAACACACATCTCTCCAGACTTCTGAATGTCCCATTTCTGGTGCTATGCTGGAATAATTCTGGAACCCATCACTGGGCTGCTTTTCTCCTTGGCTAGTTGCCACTGCCTTATGGAAGGAACTTACCTGGAGGATACAGAGGAATGAAAAGCCCCGAGAAAGGCTACATCATATTGTGTCCCTAGAGCTACTACCTCAATTGCACGAATCCACAGCACCTTCCAGAGCCGTGCAGTGCTCAGTGTAATAGGCAGATGGAACAACCGTGTTTTCACTTTATATGTGAGAGAGCCCCAAACCAGAAATAGGTTAGAAGGTATTTGCCAACATGGTACAATGGATGACCATAGGCTTTGGAATCAACAGGTATGGGGTTATATGTTGTCTCCAACTACTTCCTAGTCCTGTAAATGTGGACAAATTACTTGCTATCACTCAAGTTGAGCTTCTATCTAAATATAGAATGATAATACATGGCTTAAGGATTTTTGTGAAGATTTAAAGCCAATAATCTAGGTAAAGACTCTGTAAAATGAATCAGGGACCTGATAAATGCTCCTTTCTCTACAGTATAGCCACTCTCTGTCATATGCATAACAAGCTTGAGTCCAAATAAAATCCAGGCATATTAAAACTTTAGCCATAACTTAGAGACTTCTGCATTTTGTCACAAGCTTAACATTAACCAAATGAAATTCGGGTTATCTGTAGCCCCTAAGTTCATCACAATATTTCACAGGATGCTTAAAAGAAGAGGGCAGGCCTGACTATGGACTTCTAAGAGAAGCCCTACCAGAGAGAAGCAGGAAAGACAAAAACAAGGACTAACTCCTGCTCCTTTGACTCTGAAAGTCTCTAGGGTGTCCTGGGGGCTCAGAGCTGCCTGCCTCTGGCAAAATCAGAGCCCCTCACTGTTCTGCGACTTGGGTGTGCTTGGGCCTTTTTCAAACTCTTTGCTCTTCGTCATCCCAACACGAACCAAAGGCCCAGAAGCTTGTTTTCAAAATTTAAGAAAACAGATGTTTTTGCTTATTATAATTTCTCTCTTGTCTCTCTTCTGCCAAAATACCGAGTTTTCACTGGGTTCTGTAGTTTTTCTCTTTTGTTTTGATTTTACTTTTAAGATAAATCTTGGATGAGGGTCATTGTGAAAGGAAGAAGGGTAGGCATTCATTCCCAAATTGGGAAGCCTTTTGTTTAGCTGTGAATGAAAACGTGTAAGAACTTGAAGGCAGACATGATAGAAGACACGAGGGAGCAAGACTGATGGATTCTGCTCTGACAGGGTCTTGGGACTCCCCAGGGCTGTCCAGCCAGCCAGGGACAGGACAGTGAGTTCTTTCTCAAGGGATTCTGAAAGCTAGCTGACCAGTCTATGCTGCATACCAAGTAAGGCCCAGCACCACCGGCAGCCCCTCTATTTTAGAGACTGCTAAAACATGGTAGGTACTGACTGTATCAGTTTCTGTTTCTACTGTAACCAGTCAACACAAATTTAGCCACTTCATACAACACATATTTATGGTACAAATGTATTGATTAGAAGTCTGAACACTGGTCTTTCTGCACTAAAATCTAGGAACTGATAGGTCTACGCTCCTTTGTAGAGATTCCCAGGGAGAATTCATTTCTCATGATTATCTTATCCAGCTTATCATTTCTTGACTCCTGGTCCTCTTTCTCCATCTTTAAAGGTAGCAACGTCAGGCTGAGTCTTCTCCCATTGTACTACTCTGGAATTCTCTACTGCTCCTTCTTCCACTGTTAGAGGCTTTGGTGGGTCACACTGGACCAACCAGGATATTCCAGAGTTATCTCCCTGTTTTAAGGTTAGCTGAATTCCATCAGTAACTGTAATTCCCCTTCACCGTGTAAGTGGTATAGTTATAGGTTCTACGAATCAGAACATGGACCTTTTAAGGGAAAACACTATTGCCTACAATAGGTACATAGGTCATTTTTATGCTGGATAAAATAGTTGTATGCAGTAAGGCTTTCAGTTGTAAGTTCTATTTACTTGGCATCTCTGTGCCTTGGCTTTGTCATCTGTAAAACGGGGATGATAATACTATCCATCTCAGGAGTATTAAATTTTGGGATGTTTAAATATATATGTACAAATGAAATGCTTAGAATGGAACCTCCACAGAGTGAACACTTCATAATAACAGCCTTCATGATTACCCTTGTGCCATTAGTAGTAGCCTCCCCGAGGATGGCATGGGCATTTGGAAAGTTAGGTAGGAAGTAAGTCAGATACTTCCTTCAGTTCTCTTCCTGCACGCAGTCTCTTCTTTCTGGAACTTCCTCTCTCTGCCACAGTGGGAGATTTAGGTTGTCACCTGTAATATAGGTTTTGACATGGCTTACAGTTGTCATCATCCCGCCCTTGGCCTTGACTCTGCATGTCCACCATCAAATGAATGCTCTATCACTATTCCTAAGTTCAGGTTCATGAGAGAATCCCATTAGCTGAGCCAGTGATTGTCTTCAGGTAAGAATGCAGTCCATGTTTGATCACCTGTGATTGCAGTGGAACAGATTAAGCTGAAAGGAAAAGTTGAGTTTTAGCAGAAAATTGACCAACTTGTCTTTTGCATGTATGCCTGAGCAAATTGGGATTTTCCTACAGAACAAAACAGACACTTTCAAAGAGTACCAGTTAACCTAGGTGTTCGGGACATGGACGATACTAGATAATGCTTTGTGGGAGCATGGTTGAGTCTACAGTGTTTGTAGAGAAAAATTGACCACTCTCCAGTTAACAACAGTACATTTATAAATAAGGCACTGTCAGGGCCAGTTAGACACAGATCCCCACTCCTTCATCCATATAGCCTCTTCTTAGAAACACACCTGGAGCAAAAGCTCCTGAGAGATGCACACAGCTGCTGTCGAGAGCAGATTCCATAGTGACAAGGGATGTGTCCAGAATCTTTCCTTTGGTGACAGGAAGAGATTGTGACCCCTCTCACTTTTCAGAACCACTCAGTTCAGACTATTCAAAACATTTCAGTGAACAGAGATTCTTCCTCAAGCTCATTGTCTCTGAAGACGTTAGCAAGAATCTCTCCATCGAAGTACTTCCTCAGTGATGGGGAGGGAATTTCTTAGCTCTGAGCCACTTTGGGAAGGCAGGGAATGCTTTGGATCGGGGCCGGGTATCTTGGGAAGCACTGAGATCTGGGGGAAGGCAAAGCACTCACAGTTTTGACAGAAGCCTGCTGGGAAAGTCTCCACTGTAAAGGCTCCCGTGCCCCTTTCTAGTGGAACAATTCACAGGCTCCATGCCTGCTTTCAAATGGATTGGTTTTGAAGCAGTCAACAAAAAAGCATCCTGCTGCCAGGGCCAACCATCAAAAGAGAAAAGAGATCACTGCAAACCATGGAAGAATGTGCACTAGAGAAATATGACAGCACAGAGGCACGTTGCTGCCAGTCTGACCTGTGTGCCTTATCTCCCCAAAGGACCCCGTGGTTTAATGGATGGGGCTTTAACCTACCCAGAGGCCAGTCTCTGCTGGACAAGTGGAACCTCATCCCTGAGGGCATCGACATACTCATGACCCACGGACCTCCTCTAGGTAAGTGGAAAAAAGGTTGTCCTTTTGTCACGGAAGAAATGATAATGCTTCACTGACATAATCATTTTATTCAAGACCAAAAAAAAAAAAAAAAGTACAAAAAGAAAAGCCAATGTCTTCAAAGAAACCCAGTATGATAATTAAACCCAGCAGTTCTGCTAGGCTTACAGGTGTTCATGAAATTAAATTTTTTTATTTAGTTGAGTCAGGAAAAAAGCAAGTGAGCATAGAACACCACAGTCTTCTGAGCTTGGTAATTTATTTTAAGGACTGTATTTGCTTCAGAGTGAAGACCTAGGATGGGGCATGGAAGGATGGGGGGCTACCAATCACAAGCTTTTGAATGGCACTGAAATAAAGGAAACTTGTTCAAAGCAGCTCATTTTTCTTTTCCACATCATGCTGGAACCAGGGGTGTCTTTAAAGTGGAACATTTGAGCTGATTATATGAGAAAGAAATTTTTTAAGATCAAATATTTTTAACAAAGTCTTAATGTTGAAAATGACTTAAGGATATGCATTCTTCAGATACATTGTGACTTCATCCATGTTTAGATTATCTGTGGGCTTCAAAGCTACCTCCCTAGTAACCTGGATTATTGGTTGGAAGATGGGTATTTGATTTAAACAACTGTCTCCTAATTATTCATGGGCTTGTTAGTGGTTTGGCTTACTGCAGAACAGTTTCAACAAGAATCCACCATTTAATCTACCAGCAAAGCCAGGACACTTTCTGTCCAGCTAAGGTGTACTCAGAAACCTCCACTGCTTTACTTTAAATAGAGAAATATTATATTTCTTTGTTTCTGTTTTTTGTGGAAAAACACCCTCTTTACACATGTTTTTAAAAATCTATGCTATTAAAAGAGATTTTTAGTCATATTGAAGGGGAAAACACTTAGTATAGGTATACGTGATTTTCAGTTTTTCTTGTTATTATTATGTTGTTATCCATAACCCTTCCTCTATCAATATGAAAAATAAAACATCTTGCTACTCATTCCTGAATCTTTTGAGATACTTCTATCCCAAGCTATTTGTTGAGGAAATGGAAGGGAGACCATGTTAATGATGAGGAAGTAAGGGCAGAAAAGCGGGTTCTGCCGTAGACAGAAAAGCACACAGGAGTCACCTGCTTATAACCACTTGACCTCCTCCTATGTCTTCCAAGAATGTATTTGCCAACAACCTTGGTCAAATCATTATCCATTTATTTCATGATTTAGACTAGCTAAATCATTAAATTGCTAACTAAATATTCTGACTAGTGTGATTGCTTAGCGAGAGTGCCCTGCAGAGTTACCATTCCAGGCAACTTTGATCTCTTTGCCCGAGTAGCCTGTTTGGGAGCAATCATTGCAAGGATAAGTGCAGCACAGAAATATCCATTCCTGGAGCATTATTTAGAATATGACTTATAATGGAACAACTAGCTCACAGATTTAATCAAGTTGTTCATTCTGGTATAATAGCAAGTGATGATAATAATAATTAGGTCTGAATACTAAAGTCTACAAAATCTAGGCGTACCAGGAAGAAACTCTTACTGCAAAGGCTCTGTCCCTCTTTTTATAGTGAAGTGGGATAAACTGGGCTGTGTATCAGAGGGAGATCCACTCACAAAAGTTCCATAAAAGGTCAGGCTAAGTTTTCATGATGTAAAGCTGAATCTTAAGGTGGTTACTGAAATTCTTTGGAAAATGTTATATTGAGGAGGGGGCAAGGAATTCGAGCTTGCATTCTCTCACACTTTGAGGCAAGGTGTAGGTACCATGGGATTTTAACTATTGAAGTCTCAGCAAGATGCTTTCTCAGGTGTCCCTTTACACAGTGGGCTAAATTTTTTTCCTCCTTCAAGAAAACACATCCATGAGGCAATAATGCCAATCACTGTGGATTCAGGATTTTTTTTTTTTCTTTTACTGAAAGTTTCTAATACACTGACTTATTTTTGCAAGGCCCTTACTTTTGTCTGATATTATTCTCAGACTCTCCAGTTAGCCCCTGTGCCCCAGCTAACCGTTTACAGTGACACTAAATAGCCATGTCTACTGCCCGGCCAAACAGATCAGAAAGCTGTCCTTTCCTGCATAGTGATTTCTAAACAGCAGAAATAATTTAATGGTGCTGTGGAATGGATTCTTCACAGATTACGACTTAGCCTTTCATCCCACCTGCCTTCTTTATGCCCATCCTGCTGAGGTATATGGATTTCATTTTAGAGCATAATCATCTCGATAGCTGACTTTTTCTATAATTGATGTCAGTTTTTATGGATTTTCTGCATTACGCAGAGGACTAAGTGGCTTTTACTTTAAAACTAGTCAATTAGCCCCAGATTGCTGGATGCCACCATGAGGTCATGTTTTCTATTGCTAGAGAACAGTGGAGAAGCAATTGGGCCTTCCAAAGCTTTGGTTGTTAGGAAGCACCAAGGGTTAAGAGTTGATGTCCTTAAGGAGAACAAGGTTTCCTGTGGCCAGTTCATAGGCAGACCTTCCAAATCCCCTTTCTTTGAGCTGTCTTGAAAGTAAACTGTCATATGAATGCATATGAAAGACATAATTAACAAAAAGAGAAAGTTACTGAGTTGAGGGAGGAAGACCCATTATGGGGCTGCCGGGAATACATGTCATTGAGCTCATGAAGAAGATTTGAAACCTGTAGCTGAATAAATCAAACTCTTTGCAGAAAAGGAATTTTAATTAACTGGAAGTGAAAGAAAAAAAAGAAACAAAAAAAAATCATGAACCTAAAGAAGACAAAGTGAGGAGTGAAAAGTTTCTTAAAAGCCATTGTGAGCTTTAATGGAGAGGCTAGGATTACAGCTAATGTAATAAACCTTCTGTGAGTTATAGCTTCCTGAAAGTCTAAATGAAACCTTACCTGAAGAACGAAAATTAAGAGTATTGATTGCGTTCTACCCTTAGGATTCCGAGACTGGGTTCCAAAGGAGCTTCAAAGGGTGGGCTGTGTGGAGCTGTTAAACACCGTCCAGAGGCGAGTTCGGCCCAAACTTCATGTGTTTGGTGGGATTCATGAAGGTAAGAATAGAATTTACATGTTGCCTTTGTCCATGATCTCCCTCTACAGTGAGCAGTATTAGCTCAACTGGGAATCCCTGGAGCAGTGGGGCTCAAACTTGATAGCAATGCAACCATTTCATAAGATGAAACCTCATGAGGAAAAAGCCAGTTGAGAAATAGTCTGCAACTCCTGTTTTTTCTGCAGAATGGCGAGTAAGAACCATGTCTGACTAACCTTACCACAAACCCCCACACTCTGTCAGGCAGCTCTGGATTCTCAGGGCTCTAAGGACAGATACTTGGTAATCACTGTTGCAGCCTCCATTATATAAGGACACTTTCTCTTTAAAGGAATTAAAATGCTCCCAAGATTAGATGAAGTTTAAAGCTTCCATAGTTACCCTTCCTGCCTGTAAATGTTGGGTTTCACATGCCATACAGATAAAGAGCTACAAGACTAGATGCTCCCTGAAAAATTACTCTGTCTGTGCAGAGATTATAGAACAGGTATGGAAGGGACCAGCTCATCTGCAGGTACATTTCTTTACTAAGCTCAGACTGTCATCAGCATTGTTGGCTGAGGCTGAGGTTAATCAGAACAATTAAACCTCCTGTAAATGGGAAAACTTGTCCAGATGTTGTTTTCTGTCCTTCTAGGTAAGCTAAGTCAAGGTCATAGACTCTGAGAGCCTCAAGAAAATTCAAGGGCTCCAGGTTTTGGCCACCTTGACTCTTTCAAATCAGAGGCCACTGGGCTTTAGTAGACAGAGAGTCCTCTCTCAGCCAACTGTGGCTGTGGCTTCCCCACACCTTACAAGACTGGCCCAGGAGCACACATCCGTGTGTTGTAGATGTGCTTATGTGGACAGCTACCTTATTTCCCAGCTCCTGCTCACAACAGTTCCTCTGGTGTTCAAGGTGAGGTGTGTCAGACTGTGTGCCTGGTGAAGCAAAAAGCAGTTTGCTTTTCAAAGCCCACAGATGCAGTGGCTTCCTGGTTAGGAGGATAATAAAGAGCATATTGAAAAGAAATCATCCTACTGAGGTCAGAGAAAATTCAGCTTGCTCTAAGTGCAGGCACCAGCTGTGAGGCTGGAAAGCAAGAATACAGCTCCTGGAGGCCAGGCGGGCAGACAGCAGCGTCCTGTGACCCCAGTATGTGCTCTCTGAGCAGGAAGACAGAGAGATGGGACCTCCTATCTAAACCGCATTTCTGTGGGCCATGATCTTGAAAATTAGTTTGAATTCCTACAGGAGTCCTTTGGGTTTGTGTTTCACCCTTTTGAAAAAGAAGTTTTAAAACGTTAATTTGCCTTAACCCAGCCAGACAATTTGGGAATTCCACTGAAGCCCCAAAATAATAAACTTACTTTAAAGGAAAGAGATCATATTCAAATAAACTTGCCTTGCTTTTATTCACTTAAGACAGCTGAAGAGGGCAGAGAGAGGGCAAATACCAACCCCTTGATGGAGAGAGATAACAAGACTTTATGACCCCACAATCAAACAGCACACATTTTAAATGCTTTTTTTCTTAAGAGATTTTCCCATTGACCTTCATTAAGCTCTTCACAGGCTTATGTGGAAAAATTTAAGCAAAAGAAGGAAAAATAAGAACCTTTTTAGAGATTTCTGTAAGTCCTGGTCATTTTATTTCTTTAAGGCTGTTCTGATATAAACATAGAAGTACAAACTTGTTGAAGAATCTATAAGGCAAAAAACAAGGCAGCCAAGGACACGTGCGAAATGCCAAACAACCCAAAATGTCAGCATGCTAAAAATTATAAAAGGGGTCTGCAGGCCAGAGGTGCAGGTTGTTTACTCAGCTTTCTTTCAGTAGATCCCAGGAGCATCATTTATCCTGCATGGGGAGCAGGGTACTTTCGCTCCATGTGATGTCTGGGAATGTTTAGGAAACAGGGTCCTATGGTGATGCTGTTATGAATCCTTGGACTGTTGATTAGCCAGTGCTTTTGAATGAAATGGAACTCAACGTTAAAGCCACATAATTCAAGGTAGAATCAGTGTCACTTAAGGTTGACTTGTGGAAACGGATCACTTTAGAGACACGGAAGCTGAGCGTCCACACCTGAGCATGGGTGTGCATCTCTCAACTCTCAGAGTTCTTTCTCTCTTCCCTAGCCCTGAAGCCCACTTGGAACCTGGTTGTGCTTGTCCTGATGAGTCACTCTTAGGTTACTGTTTTTATTCCCTGCAACTCAATAGTTAAAACAGGGCTTTGAAATGAAAATGCTGTTTTAAAGTGGGACTGGAGGGCTCCTTATTCTCAATAGTAAAGACCTCAGATCCTTTCCCTGACAAGTTCAGTATTTAAGCAAGGGGAATGGGGAAAGAATCACTCTTTGTTGAAGAGAAGAAGTCTCCCCTTTTAAAATAAATAGAGCAAAATTGGACAGCAGCTCCTGAAATCTGTGGTATCTGGGCAGATCGCACTGAATTTCATCTGCCTGGCCTCTGACAAAGATTTTGTTGTTCTCCCTGACCGATAGTCCTGCATTCATCACTGTCATTTGTATACATTACTGTAACTGTGACGCTGTCTTTCTACAGGGTACGGCATCATGACTGACGGTTACACCACGTACATCAATGCCTCAACCTGTACAGTCAGCTTTCAACCGACCAACCCTCCAATTATCTTTGACCTTCCAAACCCGCAGGGCTCCTGAAGTGTTCAATGTCCTATTGGAATGTGAAGGAAGATCTACAAACTGCCATTTTTCTAATTATAAACGTACATTCTCTGACTTGTTTATTTACAAATCCTGTGCGTTCCTTTTGTAAATTGTTGGAACAGGAAAAAAAAAAAAATGACGCTAGAGTTGTGCTTCTTCTTTATTTTTTTTAAATGGGGTATCCATTTGAAATCAAAGGGAGCGTTGTGAATTTGTAAAATGACTTCTATTTGCTCAAAGGCCACGCCATTGTAAATTGTTAGTGTTTGCCAAAGGACAGCCAAGCATTCTTTTTAAAAACTGATTAAAAAAAAAAAGTCTTATTTGAATATGCTTTAAGCTGAAAGAAAAGGGAAAAAAGGAAAAAGAAAAGAAACAGGTAGGCAGTGTTTTTAGAACCACCCAGATTTGCACAACTGTTTATGAGTATTGTTTGATGTATTTTATTTTTTAGCAGTTTACTGTTTTCTTGGTATTGCTTCATTTCTTTTTCTTGCAGATGTGGCCCTGATTTAGAGCAATCTCAACAGAAGTAGGCCTAGAAAAGCCTTCTCTTCCTACTCGCTATAAAGAAGACTGTGTCCCCAAGGGGGAAAGAAAAACAGCCCTCACTCAAAGGATGGCTTAGCTTGTGAGACCCATATCGTGGTTACACAAACTCTCATTGTTTGTTTGTTTCTTTTAAATTATTTTAGCTTTAAAAATATGGAAACAGAACCTGTCAAGAGCAGATAGTTCATGAAGAATTTAAAAAAAAATGAGCGTGCAGGCTCCTTTTCATGGGTTTATATATAAATATTTTTTGTGTATTATTATGACCAAGTTAGGAGTTTAATATTACCAAGGACAGTACAACTGCAGAGTGTGCTGTGTAGCAGCCCCTCAAAAGTCCGAAGGAACTGACAAATTGTTCTCAGAACTCAAGGTCTTAAAGAGCTTGAGTTATATCTAGGTACAGTGACAAGTGTGTATAGACGTCAGTGGATGCAATGGAAGCTAACTAAAATAAGGCTTAGTTGTCCTTTCTATTTAAATGCCCTGAACTGTCTTCTTACTTCCTCTCCCCTCCCATTTTGCACTGTGTGTTGATGCAATCTTCCTAGCACAAAATATTGTCGCTAATAGTCCTTTCTGTTTTCCCATTGTAAATGCTGTTGAGCTCTATTCTATTTTATGTTATCTTAAAGTTTAGGAAAGCAGTTGTTTTCTTTAAATTTATTGTGATATTCTATATCTAGCGGCCTTTATATGCAAATAAAATTGCAAGATTTTTAAATCTGTGCTGTTTGGTTGGGTTGCCCGGGGGGGCGAGGGTGGTAGTCTTATCTTGGGGAAGAGGAGATTTATTTACAAGCAGTTTCAGTAATCCCTTTCAGAACAATTAGAATAGTGATATTTTTTTTCTAGTTTTCAATACATTTTTATGGCCTACCAATCACAGACTGGCAGGTGGATCAATAAGGCACTGGCTGTACTCTCTCCTTCCAGCACGCTGCCATCCATCTTGCTTTAGGTGGAAGGAGGTGCAGCTTCCTTCCTTCTTTGGCCACTGTACTGTCTGAGGGACAGAGACCTTTAAGGCTGTGGCTGCTCTTCGGGGAGTGCCTTGTAGTGAGTTCCAGGAAGCCAGTGAGGTAAGAGCTCCGCAGCTCAGCACTTTCCTTTGCTCTCAGTACCAGTCACCATCTCCCTCTTATTTTCTTTTGTTTTGTTTTTGTTTTTAATGATACCACTAAAATCCTCTTTCAATCTGGAGATGGACAAAGGTGGGATATGGGAAAATTGTGTACGCTTTATTTACTTTGTCTAGAAGAATCATTGAAAAAAAGAAAGAGGACCTTGTTGTTTGTGGTTTGTTTTAGTTTTTTGAGTCAGTGTCTCACATATCTCAGACTGGCCACAAACTCACTATGTATGGGAGGATGACCTTGAATTTTGTGTCTTCTTGCCTCCACCCTCCAACTGCTGAGATTAGATATGCACACTGCTCCACCCAGTTTACAAATAGGATCTTGAATATGCCCTGTATCTCCACAAGCTGCATTCCAGTCAGTGCCCATTTAATTGCATTACGGTGTGCCTTCCATCCTGCCCATCCATTGTGGATCCTTTGGTACAATTACTGAAAGGAATTCTTGATTTCAGCACCAGCTGGGAAAATGTCCTTGCCAGAATAACAGTTCAGATTACATAGAATCATCTCAGTCCATTGTAGTTGTATTGATTGGGCTTGTCCGTTTCTGGTCTGAGATTGCAGAACAGGTGCATGAGCTGCCCAACAAGAGGATGCCTGTGACCATGGGAGCTAAGACAGTCAGATGAGGTCCTGAGAGTAGACAGCCTTCTTTACCCTGCCAACTCAGTGTGAATATTGTCATCCTCAAGCCCCTTTGGATGAAATGGACTGAAAGGACCTTTCACCTGGCAGTTTTCCCAGGATATGGGCTCAGACATCTCAGAAAGGAAAAGCAAGCTTTCAAGGAATAGGCAAACAATCCTGAGGACACATGTGTGTGTATGTGAGAGCAGGCTGGACACTAATTAATCGAAGCACTTGCTAAAATTGCTTTCCACTGTATGTGAGAAGGAGGCAAGTAGACTGACCATCCAGAGATTCCTGCAGCCAGCCCACAACTCCATGTGCATGAACTGCTTCTAGAGGCCCCATAGCGACTGTTCAAAAACCTAAAGCTTTCTCTGCTGGCCCTTATAACATGAAAACATTCAAAATAGTGCTTATAAATTGACTGACTTCTATTCTTCCATCCCCAGGAAATCTGTTGAACAGGGTTCATATTTTGTTTCTCCTCTTCCCAAAATACTGGAGGTCACATAAACCCCCTTTATAGAGAGGAAAGCAACACAGCTCCCAGCTGAGTATCTTCCCTTAGGAAAACAGAAGGTTCTAAGCCAGGTCTCTCTGACTCTGTAGTCTATACCTGTCTACTATTTTGCCTCTGGACCAGAAAAATTAATGCCTTCTAAGAGCTAACAGAAAATTGGTGGGCCTGGGACACTTATTCCCCATGTAGGAGCTGCTAAAGCACCTTACAGCATGGCTACTTCAATGCGATCAAGACGGCCACCTCCTCTGTGCTTGAGGCCCAGCAGTATCAGAGGCCATAGGGCCCCCATGCCAGCCCAAATCTGGCCTCATCTTGGACTAACAGTGATAGCGATAATGAACTCACACACAGAGATCCCTGTCTGGCATCTGGTAAATAGTGTATATGTTCCTTCACTATGGTCACTCTGCCAGTCTCTAGACTCTCTGGGCAACATTCTGTCGATTTGTTTTACCTGAAGAGGTCCAGTAGCTTGTGTCTGAGAAAGTGTCTGTGTGCATTCCTTGGGAACTGTAGAAAATGTCCCTTCCTAGGACTTTGGGTCAGGAGATATGGCTCAGTGGAGAGTGAGTACCGCTCTTGCAGAGGACCTGTATTGGGCTCCCAGCACCCACATCAGGCAGCTCAACCACCTGTAATTCCAGTTCCAGGGGATTTGATACCTTCTTCTGGCCTCATTGGGCACCTGCACACATGTGATACTCATAAACTTACACGGGCACACACACACACACACACAATTAAAAAATAAGAGGAATGCAGGCCTTTATGAGAAGTGGTCAAGTGAGCTTGACTTTCTAGCTTGAGCGTTGTTTAACATGGTACCCATGGGTCTCTTTCGTCTTGAACTCTTCCTACTCTACCTCACTGTCCCCTTCGAGCTCAATTATGAATGTTTTCCTGTGAGTTATCATATCCTTTTGTCTTATAAAGATGTTAGGGGGTTGCTGAAATCCCTTTCATCCACAGGTCAGAGCTATTCTGGCAGGTAGCCAGCATTAAGTTTCCTTCATCTCCATCATGTAACTAAATAATACTGTGACCCAGATTGGTGGGGAGGATTTAAGATTCATCAATTACAGATAAAATGCTTTCTGTGCCCAAGAATGATGGCCCCCTCCTGATCTACTGAGGACGTTTGGCTCTGGCAAGCCTATGGCACCCATATTGCTTTGATTTCTGGGTCTTTTCCTGTTCTGTTCCCACTTGTTTAATTATTAAACAAAACCACACTGAGGTCTCCTTTGTCTTGGGATCTGGCTATGAGCTGAAACGTTTGGTAACACCGCATGGGGCAGGAGGTTCCACATGCAGAAGTCTTGGTGTATGCTTTCATGCAAGGCTCCAGGCTCATGGCTAGAAATCCGGCTCTTAGGGTTGAATGTTTTTATTTCTACCTTGTAACTAGAGATTGGCAGCATTGCTGAGTGCACGTGAGCTGTACAGCAGGGTTCTTCGGAAAATGCAGAATTACTTTCTTCCTTCTCTTTTAAGTATCTGTCTCACTCTTCCATGGAAGAGAAAAACACAGATTCCAAAATTTCCCTGGGAAGCCCCACTCTTCCTTTATGCCCATATGTTCACCTCTACAGAACATAAGAGGTTCAGGGAGGACCAGTGGCCCACCACGGTCAGGTCACACAACAAATCAAAGATAAAGCTCTACACCTCTTTGCCTGTAGCAACTCTGATTGCACCTGGTTCCTCCTGCTCCAGAGAGAGAAGGGAATGTGGTTTCCATCCTGTCACCTCAGCGTCTGGGTGCCGGTAAAGTATCCACCCTTGAAGCAAGCTGATTGCCTTGACTGCATATTTGTCTTTTCTTGGCCCCTGATTCCACCCTGTAGGATGGGCATGCTTCATCCCTCACCACATGGAGGGTAACACCATCAGGATGTGTGAGGAGGCTTTAATTATTCTGTTCATCATCATAAGTCCTTAAAGCAAAATGATTCTTTAAAGGAAAAACATTCCTACCATTTAACTTACTTTGTTAACCTTTCAGAGGAGAAAGCTAATTTTTCAGACTGAACAGAGTACAAAGGCACTAAAAACCCACGCTGTGCCGAAACCAAGCCCTTTAAATTTCTGTCTGAAGGACCTGACAAAACATCAAGATGAGTTCCCCTTGACTCCTCCCAGTTTCCATCCTGTATTAGGGGTACCTTATAAGACAAAAATCCCGAGGTAAAAAGGCTCTTTCATATCCGAGAGCATCTATCTAGGTAATGGTGAGAGAGAGAGAGAAATGAATTTCCATTAGGAAACATGGCCACAGTAGTGCTAAAAGCACACGTAGACTAAACACATGGAGGCAGAGAGCCTCCTCCCCATCAATCAGCCTTGATTTTTATGAAGCCACAGTTACCAAGAGGTGCATCTGGGCACTCTCAGAGCCTGCTCACCAGGCAAAAGGGCCTGTGATTGCATGTCCCATTTCTGCCTTGACCTTAGGGGATGACCCTGGAAATAGGCTGAACTTTTCAGTAGAAGCTCCTGAAATAGCAAATGGTTTGGAACACAAATATTCCTTCTGTGCCTGGGCTTACCCACATGTACCTGCTGCAGTCAACCATCTTGCTCAGGTGACAACTGCTTAATTCTTCCAGGAATTCCTGTTTTACAGTTGCTTTGCCTCGCATCCCCAGTCTCTTTGGTGTTGCCGTAGCTGCCCACACATCTACCCATCTGTGTTGCATTCTGAATATTGCTTGTGTGCCTCTGAACTCCCCGGGTTCAGTGACAATACCTTCTCTGTATGTTCCCAGCATCTGGATCCAAAGACATGCTTTTAAAATGAATTCTTAAGTTCATCAAATAATAGCTTGGCATGTAAGAAAGATAAGCAAAATTAACCACAGATCAACAGATATGTACTGACACCATAAACTAGGTTCTGTGCTAATAAGCTTTATTATAAAATCTAGTGTTTGCTTCAAAAGGGTCTTATACTTTGGTGAAGAAAACAAGGTATTATTGACATGTGAAGGTAAATAGCAAGAAGGGAATTAAGTCACAGTTCGAGACAATGAAGGAAAATTAGCCTTGGTGAAACAGAGGTTTCTCCACTTGTGTGAGTGGCCATAGTTATGTGGAAGTGCAGGGTGAGGGTTTGACAAGCACACACAGCTAACCTAGAGAAAGGAGTCTGTGTGACAATGATAATGTCAGTTGTCTGCAGCTTCATTCCAGGAGAAGAAAAACTGGTATGGCCAGTGGGCAATTCCAAGTGTGTCACGTAGCTGGTTTGTTTTCTTAATTTACTCTATGAAATGGTTTTCTCTAATGGCATGCCATTGACGAAATGCACCATAATGTCTCCATCCATCACCTCCAAATGCTTTTGCATGCATCAGTTGTTGACTTGTTTTCTCCCGTTCAGCACATAAATGAGAGGAATGATTTATCCAAGGCCACCAGTTACTTTTAT